TTATATTTCCATAGCATTTTTTAAGGGTCCGTCAGTTTTCTTTCAATAGTTAAACTTCTAAATATGAAAAAAATTTTGATCACCTAGTTATACATACTACCTCAATATTAAGTTAAAAGATTTAAAAACAAAGATTTTAGATTACCTTTAGACATTGTACAATATATTAGTTTAATGATTATTTCCGAAGTGTTCTGAGATATAGTAACTATTAAAAACAACTTAAAGTGTAAACATATCGAGATCAAAACACTAAATATGAATTGTTTACAGAGATAAGAATACATCTACACAAATAATTTTTGTTGTTACAAAATAAGTTATCCATATCTTTTATTTTGATTACAGGATATTTAAATATCAAATATATTAATACGTAATCTTTATATTACTGCTGTTTCATTAAAGGACTGATATCTCAGCAAATTCTTTAATTTTGTTACACTGATTACGTATCAACAAGTGGTTTTTTAGCATCCACTTTATTTCATAACACAAAAACACGTGACTTTCGCAGATGCTAGGTTCTGAATATTGACCTCAACAGATCGCTTAGAGAATGGTCGTTCGTTATTTTCATGCTATTTGTGCTAAAAGCAAATCAACATAACTCATTCAGTTTATTCAGTTGTTTTCAAACTTAATGTAAATATGGGTTGCGCGTTTTTGCTTTTACGCATATATAAAAGTACAATGATGAAATCAAAGCAGCGTCACAAGGATCATGAAACTTTTTAATTATTCAAAATTATAAAACGGGAATTAACGCAGATAGCAGTTTGATTATCACTATTGATAACTCAATTATCATCGTATTCCATGTTGATTTTTTTTTCATTCCTTTAAAAGTAAAAATGAGAAGATCATCTCACAAAGTAATGAATAGCTTCGCATAATAAATTTAGAAAAATTAACATAAAAATATAGACTCCTTAATAACTTATTTAAAAATTTCCTAGATCAATTATTTTCAATTTAATATGTCATGTCATCTTAGTTTTATGAAAATAGGGATTGCGGAACATCGCTAGAGGAACATCACTTTCGCATTTAGGTAAGCAAGACCAACATTTTTATTTTTTTTTATATTTTCCTTTCTTTAATTTATATTTTAATCAATGGTACGAATAAAAATTTAAGCGATTGATTTTTTATCGCAATTTCTCAATGTGTCATTCATTATTTAAAAAAAAAATTCGCCTTTTCCATTTTTAAAATAAAATTTTTGACAACCTATTCCGATTTCATTTCAGATTTTGTATTTTACCATTTAAAATTACGCTTTATAAAATAAGGTAGATATTTGTGCACATCAAAAATTCTAAATTATTTTGATCATTATTAAATTAAATAATAGAAAAGTAATAAGTATTAAGATAATAAGTATTAAGAAAAATTTTTTCCATGCATTATCCATTCCATCTTTGGACTAACTAATTTTATAATTGTGTGAAAAAATTTGATTTAATTTGCATTAAAAGTTCTGGAACTACAACATTTTCATTTTTTTTTAAAATAAAATTTCGGTACCCCATTCCGATTTCGTTCAAATTTTGGTATTTTGCCATATAAAATAACATTTTATAAAATGAGGTGATTAATATTAAAAAAATTTATAAATAATACTAAGCGAAATTGTATAGATTTATGCAAGAATTTAAATTATTTTTATAAATATTTTTTTTCTAATATGAATATGACCACCCCTTTTAATTCATAAATAAAAATTTAGTTTATAAGCTGATTTTGCAATTTCGAGACCATCGACATGACTATGTCAATGTGAACAGCATCACGCACCGACCGCCTTTATTTCCTAGACCAGCTGGTTCGTATCGATTTAAAGCTGGGTGATCATCACTGCAATTTTATAAGCACAGGGGCTGGGGATATTTTTTTAAACTTTTTATTTATGGTGGAAAATATTTTTTTCTCAGCTCTCTTTATTTCCTTTTTAATTAAAAAGTATTTATAATTAGTTATTTAATATAAAAGTAGCACATTTTTTAAAAATTTTGTGAGTTCAGAGGATTTTGCGAAAATAATATTGGGAGCTTCATTTTGAATTAGTTTTTAATTGGAATATACTTTTTATAACTTTTTTTTAAAACAATTTTTCCACATAAATCACAGTTTATCATAAAACTGGAAGAAAAAAAAAGTAATACGTCATGCTAGTTTTTTCTTTTGAAAATGGCGTTTTTCGGAACATTATGAAAGGAATATTGTGCATTGCATTAAAAAATAATTGAAAAAAATTGTTAATTTAATATGCATATATATATACAGTGAAACCATCAAGTTGACCACCCTTGGTAAGTTGGACACCTGCATAAATTGACCTCAATTATCAAGAACGGAATTTTTCCTATATAATATAAGGAAGTAAAACCTTTGTAACTTGACCACCTGTCTATCTTGTATGTTGACCACTGAAATAAGTCAATTTTGTCTAGGAGTATTATGAAATTCTATTCTAAAACCCTCATAAGTTGACCAGAAAAAAAA